TAATCTTTGTTGGAATATCAGTCAACAAATATAAATAAAGTGAATGACCTGTCACAGGAACAGGAACAGAAACTTTCCCTTAAATTTCTACGACAAGAGGAACAAGCTTCAAGTCTTCTCCGTCATTTCACCAAAATTCCGCCTGATATCTTTGTTATTTCACAATAAATGTGAGGGATTGAACGAATTCACATTTACTCTCACTTCAGAGCGGAAGCATGATCGTTTTGGGTTTTCGTTTATCATATTAAATGTGTCGTTTGATTCATTCTTTAGTTGAACTTGATAGTTTGCATATTTTATCTAAGTCAGATCAACCTCAAGTGAAGGGATCAAAAATCAAAGAGGTTAAAACAGAGTAAGTGTGGAGAGGTGCGGCAGAAGTGGATGAGGTTGACCGAGCGACAGGAGGCGGCTGCAGAGTTTCTGAGCCTCAGCAGACAAACAGAGGCAGTTGTTAATCCAACAGCTGCTGCTGGTCACACTTCTTTACCTCGAGAGGCCCTGCTCTGTGTGAGAGTGTGAGAGTGTGTGTGTGTGTGTGTGTGATCGGACTGCAATGATGGAGGCAAACTCTCACTGTGCTCTGTCAACATTTGCTCCACCATCGTGTTGACCTCCTCACCCTCCGTCCCTCACAGACCCGCCGACACAGGAACAGGATCTGAGAAGCTGAAGGATCCATTAGTTTGTGAGATTTCACCTTCTCTTTCCTCTCTTGTCGTCTCGCTGCCGTCCTGCTTCTTTCCCAGTTCCAACTGTTCCAGCTGGAGGAGAGAAGCAGCTGGGTTTTTAGCAGCAGTGTTGGTCCGTCCACCGTCAGAGAAACCAGAGCCTCCTTGTGTTTCTGAATAAAAAGTGATATTGTTTTGTTTTGCTTCGAATGGTTGACATTCAGTAGTGTAAGAAGAAATCAGATCCTCATCAAGTATATCAAGTTTGTACATGTACCGTACTTGAGTAGATGTACTTTCCACTAACCCCGTGTCTGTAAAGGATTCTAGGGTCAAGACAAAGTAAAACAAGATTGAATACATGTTTGTTTTTTAAAAGCCTGGTTGTTGAACAGGATTTCCAGGATTGAAGAAGCTGAAGTCAACTAGTTTCATTTCTGTGGGAAACCTCCCCCCAGTGTTCAGCCTTTAGTCATTTCATCAGAATACATATCGAGCTGTGTTTCTGCAGCACCCGCCCTGTGCGTAATGATTACCCAGGCTGGTTTACAGACATCCCTCCACTTCTAAAGGACTGAATGAGCCGGGGAGCTGCAGGTAATAATTAGCCACAAAGCTGTGTAACAATTCATTGTGAAAGTGAAGTCAGATTTAAGTTTCCAGTGGAGGTTCAGCGCAGCAGTTGCACGAGGTGGATCCGCGTGATGGATGCACGACCACTCATGCCACAGGAAGAGTCTGAGCAGGTCTCTGTGATTTTGAAGTATGAGTCACAAGTTCTTTCTGCAGAAGAAAAGCAGCTGAGTAAGAACAACAACAGGATGTGAGTGAAGGGAAAGGGGATCAGCCAATAACAAGAACCAATGACGGCGAGGCCTGCCAGTTTGAAATAAAGGTAACTAATGACAACACGCGACAGGCCACCGAAATATGTTTTTGTCTGTCGAGGGGAAATGAAAACATCCTCAGTCTGCAGGGAGGACGTGCGGAGAGCAAAAAACACAAGCTGAGAAGAAGAAAAGATCGAAATCATAAGTTTCAGATTTTCAAAAGCACTAAAACAGGAAGTTAAACACACTAAACCACGTCCCCCACCCATCCCCTGAAACCACAGTGATGTGCACACCCTCGCCTGCTTGTTAGAACCTTGTTTTACAGGCTGGTTTGTCAGTTTGTCGTCAGTGTCAACAGGTCACAGCAAACAGTGGTTTAAAGGTGACACCCAGGCTGGAGCATGGGCTCAGAGCCGCCTGCAGGACCCCAGGGAGAGGGGGGTGTCAAATAGGACAGGCTGGGACGAGGAGGTGCATTCACAAAGGAGAGATGGTGATATGAAGGGTGGGGTGGTGGGAGGTTTGAGAGCAGCTCTGCAGGGGGCAGGCCAGGTTTTCCTTGGCTTTGATCACGTAAACAGATGGAGGTTTTCCATCATGTAGCATCATCTACAGTGTGAATTCTCGGGTTTGATAAAGTAACGCAATGAACAAAGTTGCAAGCTATCGCAGGCATGAACTCAAAATTTATTTTCTAGTCGTTATTGCATCTTTTCAGGTGTTTCCCAAGTATTGTGTTGAATACTTGTGTCTCCGGTTCCTTATTGCATGAGTGCAGGTGTAAAACTGTGACTGTTCTCTTTTCTTTTCGGGGATCTGCAGAGACTCTTCTACATTTGAAATCCGACTGTTGAAATGAAAAAGGAAGCTTGTGCTGCTCCTTTGTATCGGCCTCATCTAAAAGTTTGAGGCTCCTCAAATCCCAGCAACTGCTCAGTTATCCGTCCTGTTCAGACAAAAGGTGGCAGCTTGATGAAGAGAAGTGCAGAACCATCAACGTTCGTGCAAAGAGACTAAATGTGACGTCCCGGCTGTGTTCAGTCTCTAATAATCTTTCAGTTCAATGTGTTCACAAGACGACCAACAGACTCTCAGCTTGAAACTGTTGGCTGTAAATCAGTCTTCAGACGTCAGTCGGTGCACAAAGACTTCGTCCTCTCTTTTTCAGAGCCACACAGCCGCTGGGAAACTGCCTGATTTCAAACTTTGGACTAATGCCAGGGGGGGGGGGGGGGGCTCACTCACGTGTATACAGCACATGGTCGCTTGGATTGTTTTCCCTCCTGCAACAGAACTGTTACCCTCCTGTCAGGACATGTCAGGCGCTGCCTCCCCAGAGCCACTCCCTCAGCACACAGGAATGTGAACATGTGTGTGTGTAGTCACGTGCAGACGAGGAACTCCCAACATCGGCTGCAGCGGGAGAATTTGAAATCACAGGAACTGCTCTGTGTGTGTGTGTGTAGGAAAACCTTGTGTCACCACTGCACAGGGCCAGAGGCCTGAGAAGACAGCACGTGTTCTATTCTCAGATTTCAAATGTGGAGAATCAAGTTTGCTTTGACTGAGTCTGAGGCCTGTTATCAGCTTTACTCAACTTTCATAAAACACCAAGTTCTTTGGTTTAAATGTGGATTCATTATGGTCTCATCCCCTGGAAAGTTTCTAATGATTATTCATTTACAAAGTGTAAGAAAAAACACATCTTCAGATCCAAAAGTGACAAAAATCACACTTTTAACATTAAAATTGCTCAAATTTGTTGAACCAACAGAGAAAAGTGACAAATCCTCACATCTGAAAACAGGATCAAGAGAAAGTTCGAAGAGTTTTAGTTAAATATGAATCTTGGAATAGGGCTGGGTATGAAAACTGAATAATTCTGGTATCATTTGAAATGCATTTGTATCACCTGCTAACAAACTGCAGCAAAAGAACTTCTACAAATTACCAGAACATTAATTTAGTTTACTTGTACTTTGATCAAACAGCATCCATGTCAAATTATTCTGTAAATATATGATTCGTTTAAACAAATCAAAGTTTAGCTTCCTTTTCATTAACCTTTCTCAAAAGCCATGTTTTAATAATCGATTGTCAAATGGACGTCAACTCCCAAGAGTGAAGTGTCTCAATCTCCCCCTGGTCGTTGGCCACAGTGTAGGTCATGAACACCACCTCCTCCATGTTAGTGGAAGCAACATGAACCAAACTAAAAAGTACAGGTTGCAGAGATTTTTCTCAAAGACGCTCATTTTAAGATACGTTTGGTTCCACTTGGTTACATGATGAGATTAAAACAGGGTGAAATGTCATGATTGGTTGAGCGCTTGTCGACGTGAAATCACTACTGCACAGACTTGGGCTCCAGATGATGTCATCGGTGCAAGATGGCAGCATTCATTTATTGAGGAGGAAGTGGAAATGCATCATCCATCTTTATATACAATTTATAGTTTTATACCATCCAATAATCTTTCAAGCAACTGTACTCAGTCCTACCTAAGAAAACATCCACAGCACAAAAACCCTTGATAATTAAAAACACAACATACAGGACACCCTCTTTGAATTTACATCGGGTCTTTATTTCAGCAGCTCCCCCACGAGCCTGAACCAAACAGTCAAACCACCCCGTTCATATCAAACTGACGTCACTCGCTCTGCAGAGGGGAAGACATCTCTTAACATTAAGGGATTCAAAGCAAAACACAAAGGTGTTTTTAGATTAAAAACCCCCTCACACTTGCTGACCTGCAGCATTGGAAAAAAAAATCTCACTGCAAAGTTAACAGGTAGTTTGTTTGCTTTGGTTTCTTCTGACTGAGAAGATAATTTACTTAAAACTTTGGCAAATTACAGCACTAGTGTGAAAAGACAACATAAACTGCAGGATACAAGATTAATGATACATTTCTTAGGGAAGGTATGTCAATACTAATGTACACAGTTAAAAGGTGCTTGGGAGAGAAACTAAAAAAAAAGTACAAAGACTGTGCATAAGACTGGAACGTGCTTTTAACTCTTCTAAAAAACAGAATTGACACGTCCTGTAAAAGATTGTGCTCATCAAAAGATGGAAGAGACAAACTACAACAATGCATTGTGACAACCAACAAACATTATTACAGGTATTTTTTTTAGGAGCACTCAGGGGCAGGAAATGTTCGGTGCAGGAGCAGAGGTGGCGGCTGCTGGCTGCCACAGTTTCTGGAAGTGACGGATCATATCCTTCCTCTCTGACCCTGCACACCAGACAGAAGCCATTGTTACTTGACGCCTCGAAACCTCAAGGGTTTCCTCAGATGAAAAATATAAACTGTACGATTAACTTGCACAGAATGCGACCCGAGGGACTTAAGCTTTGATAAGAGCGTATGATACAAATGCTGTTTTTATTTATGCTCTGTTACGAACAGCAAATAAAATACTAACTGAAGACAGTATTTCAAGAAAAAACTGATTTGATCAACATAACTAAGGAAGTTAAAGCATTTATGCACGTTCACTGTCTTATTTGAAATAATAAAGAAGACGACTGAAGGTTTGTGACACACATTTCAAATGTTTAGGCTCCACAGGTTGCAGGATGGATAATTGTCCCCATCAAGGAGCCTCTGTTTTCACCCCTGTCCGTTGGTTGGTTGGTTGGTTTGATTGCAGTGTAGATTCAAAAGAAAAAGGTTTAAATAAATAAATAAACAAACCCATGCAATGAATGATTACTTTCT